CAGCTCTTCTGGCAACAATGGGCTACTGCACTCACATACACAAGCACATACACGTGCACTATATTAAAAATAAAATAAATCTTTAAAACACATACACAAAATCACAGCTGTTGCTTCAGCAAGGACAAGAGTTTATTTTGAAACCAAATATGAGTGATCATGATTTTGGAACACTGATTTACTAATTACCCCCAAATTCCATGTTTCAATATGGTAACAATTTCATGAAGCTTTTGTAGTAAAAACCAAACCAATGGGTGGAAGCACTTGAAATACATTGGTGGAAACATCAGGTAGGCAGTTTTCAGGCAAGCAGGGAAGACCTCAAGTATGGATCTCAGACATCATCTGATAAATTCTTAGCCTTTGGTTGCTAGAAGCTTTTGCTCTGGTACATGAATATATTACCAAGGTGTCATTTGGTAGTCATAAGGCTATCAAGTCAGACACAGATGTAGGTAGAGTTTTCCTGCCTGGCCCACAGTCAGGACAAATCTCTCTCACCTGCCAGTCCCACAGCCACTCAGACCCAACCAAGTAAACACAGAGACTTGTATTGGTTAAAAGCTGTATGGCCGTGGCAGGCTTCTTGCTAACTGTTCTTACAGCTTAAATTAATCCATTTCTATAAATCTATGCCTTGCCACATGGCTCGTGGCTTACCGGCACCTTCACATGCTGTTTCTCATCATGGCGGCTGGCAGTGTCTCTCTGACTCAGCCTTCCACTTTCCAGCTTTATTCTCCTCCTTGTCCCGCCTACACTTCCTGCCTAGCCAATGGCCAATCAGTGTTTTATTTATTGACTAATCAGCAACACATTTGCCATACAGAACATCCCACAGCACTTCCCCCCCCCCCTTTTTTTTTTCAAAAAGGAAGGTTTTAACCTTAACAAAATAAAATTACATATAATTTGGGAATTTGGGCATAGCTTCTCTTACTACTTCCTGCTGGAGGGGGGCACTGTATCTTATGGGGAAACAAAGAAAATTTTAGGATTATGGAATAGTCCATGAGGCTGTATCGTCTGAGCCAGATACCTTCAAACCGTTCTGGATGTTGGATCATCTGGGCCATGGTGTCATCGGAGACCTTTCAGGGGGTCTTGGCTGGTCAAACCTGATGTATCTTAATCTGGAACAAATCCATAGCCTCTGGCTTTCTGTGGAAACAAAAGAGACTCTTTTCCAAAGCAACACATCCTTATATCCAAATTTTGAAGTCAAGGTATCTTTAAAATATATATATTGGTTTAACTCAACAGCTTTTACAATCAAACGTTTTTCTGCAGTTAAAAATCCCAAAGACAACACAATCCAGATTCTCTGTGTAATATTCATCTTTACATGGCTTATTTTTTATATTAATTTTACTATCTCTTTAAAGACTTTATTTTTTAAAACTATGTATTTGTTTCTATAACTGTATATATCACCTTTTTTGTCTCTTTCAAGGCTACGTATCTTTTACACACATTGTAAACTATTACATCTGAATCTGTCTTATTGTGAATCTATTGCTTTAAACTGCAGCAGCTGTGGCTGCTGGCTCCGCCCACCTCAGCTTCCCAACATGGCTACGTTTACCACCAGCTCTGGGAGCTATCATGGGTCTATGCTTTTATCTAAGCAGCGTGTAGCCCAGAAACCTCTTTTTCTTGTTTTGTACTAGCAAAGTCTAAATCCACCTTGCAGCTTAATGTGCCACTTGCAGAGGCCTCATTCCCGCCATACTGCAGGTCGAGCGCGCACGCTAGGAACCCACAAGTAGCTCGAACCGGCAGCTGCCGCTCATTTGAGAGAGATAATTAGGAACTGTTTTTAGCTCCGTTTTAGAATCTTTTTTCTCAGTTTTTAGGTGGAAACTCTTGACACCACGTTGGACGCCATTTGTAGCTAGATTTGTCCTGACTGTGGGCCAGGCAGGAAAACTCTAGCTACATCACAGAGTTAAACAAATGCAATATAGACAAAACACACCTTAAAATGTTCTACTACACACAGAGACTGGCAATGACTGGATATTAGGGGAGGGAATGATACCCAAGGAGATTTGTAATTGGACTGTGGAACTGCACCATTCCAACCTTTCCACAATCCAAATTAAAGTTCTAATCAGACAATCAGTTTTCATAGAGGACAAGGTGTAGCCTGGGAGTGGTGGCTAATGCCTTTAATCCCAGCACTTGGGAGGCAGAGGCAAGTCAATCATATGTACACACTGTTAGTATTTAGGCATCTTTATTGGCCTGCCCTTAGGGTCCTAACAGGACATATCCTCAGCTGCAGCCACTAAGAGCACACCCTGTGCGCATGCCCTATGTTTCCTTATAAAAGGCCAGCTCTGTACACCTGCTCTCTCTCTCTCTTTCTCTTTCTTCACTCTTATCCCAAAGGACTGGCATCTGCCCCCTTCTCTGCCCCTTCTCTCCCTCCCCTCAAAAAACCTCCTACATGGGTCCAGTTGTATGGTGTAACTCCTTCCTGCCTTTTTAAAATACAACACATGCACCACATTCATGTCATGCCTGGTGCCTGGGGAGGTCAGAATAGGGTGTTAGATCACCTGGACCAGATGCTACAGGTGGTTGTGGGCCACTGTGTGATTGTTGAAACCAAACCAGGGTCCTCTGAAGGCCAAAGAAGTGCCCTTAACTGCTGAGCCTTGTACTCAGCTCCAAGGATCCATATTTCAAGAGCATTATCTAGTCTGCAATAGATGCTAGGAACAGATCTCACAGCAGTGCAACTCTGGGCATAGATTCTATTATAATGCTGTGCCACCAGCCTGAGTATTTGTATTTTCATCAAGGTTTATGCTTTCACAGATTTGATACTATTTTTATATGGCTGGGCTTATAAATGTCTTCCACTTGAACTTAATAACACAAACCTTACATACATGAATATTATTCCTTGGATTTTGTTTCCATTTGAACTGCATGGAAAGATCTACAGTCCTAGTTTCTTGAATCACTGCATAAATACAGAATACAGTTGTATTGATTTTTTTCTTTCTCAAAAATACAGACTGTGTTTTCTTTTTTTTTTTTGTGGGCAACTTGACACAAGCTATAGTCATCAGGGAAATGGAACCTCAATTGGGAAAATGCCTCCATCAGGTTGTCCTGTGACAAATCTGTGGGGCCTTTTTCTTGACCGATGATTGGTGTGGGAAGGTCCAGCCCATTGTGGATGGAGCCACTCCTGGGCAGGTGGTCTTGGGTTGCACAAAAGAAGCAAACTGCACATACCATAGAGAGGCCAATAACCAGAGCTCTCTGCTTCAGTTCCAGCCATGGTTCCAGCCTTGGCTTCCCTTGATGGTGGACTGTCACCTCTAAGCCAAACAAACCCTTTCCTCCCCAGGTTGTTTTTGGCCAGTTTGTTTGGTTTTATTTTCCTACAGTAATAGAGAAGCTAACTAAGCTGGCGCCCAACGTGGGGCAAGAGTTTCCATCTAAAAACTAAAAAAAAAGATTCTAAAATGGAGCTAAAAACAGTTCCTAATTGTCTCTCTCAAATGAGCGACAGCTGCCGGTTTGAGCTACTGGCGGGTTCCTATCGTACAAGCTCAACCTACAGTATGGCGGGAATGAGGCCTCTACAAGTGACACATTAAGCTACATGGTGGATTTAGCCTTTTCTAGTACAAAACAAAAAAAGAGGTTTCTGGGCTACACGCTGCTTGGATAAAAGCATAGACCCCCGATAGCTCCCAGGGCTGGCGGTAAAGTACCACGCCATGTTGGGAAGCTGAGGTGGGCGGAGCCAGCAGCTACAGCTGCTACAGTTTAAAGCGATAAATTCACAATAAGACAGATTCAGATGTAATAGTTTACAATGTGTGTAAAAGATACGTAGGCTTAAAAGAGACAAACAAGATGATATATAGAGTTATAAAAACAAATACATAGTTTTAAAAAATAAAGTCTTTAAAGAGACAATAAAGGTAATATAAAAAATAAGCCATGTAAAAATGGATATTACACAGAAAATCTGCATTATGTTGTCTTTGAGACTTTTAACTACAGAAAAACATTTGATTGTAAAAACTGTTGAGTTATGCCAAAATACATATTTTAAAGATACCTTGACTTCAAAATTTGGATATAAGGATATGTTACTTTGGAAAGGAGACTCTGCTTTTGTTCCCACAGAAAGCCAAAGGCTATGAATTTGTTCCAGATTAAGATACATCAGGTTTGACCAGCCAAGACCCCCTAAAAGGTCTCTGATGACACCATGGCCCAGATGATCCAACATCCAGAACGGTTTGAAGGCATCTGGCTCAGACGATACAGCCTCATGGACTATTCCATAATCCTAAAATTTTCTTTGTGTCCCCATAAGATACAGCGCCCCCCTCCAGCAGGAAGTAGTAAGAGAAGCTACACCCAAATTCCCAAATTATATGTAATTTTACTTTGTTAAGGTTAAAACCTTCCTTTTTGAAAAAAGAAAAGGGGAAGTGCTGTGGGATGGTCTGTATGTCAAATGTGTTGCTGATTGGTCAATAAATAAATCACTGATTGGTCAGTGGCCAGGCAGGAAGTATAGGTGGGACAAGGAGGAGAAAAAACTGGGAAGTGGAAGGCTGAGTCAGAGAGACACTGCCAGCCGCCATGATGACAAGCCGCATGTGAAGATGCCGGTAAGCCATGAGCCATGTGGCAAGGTATAGATTAATGGAAATGGATTAATTTAAGCTGTAAGAACAGTTAGCAAGAAGCCTGCCACGGCCATACAGTTTGTAACCAATATAAGTCTCTGTGTTTACTTGGTCGGGTCTGAGTAGCTGTGGGACTGGCAGGTGAGAGAGCTTTGTCCTGATTGTGGGCCAGGCAGGAAAAATTTAGCTACACTAAGCCAGAATACAAATTGAGCTGCATCTTCTGTAAGATGCTGTTTAAGTGCACGTCACAGTGAAGACTGAGGTGTCACTTTCTGTTCCCAAGACTTCATGGTGCTTGGGTTGAAGAGACATCTGTCATTACAGGGATCAGTGTCCTTTGAGGATGTAGTGGTGGACTTCACCTGGCAGGAGTGGCAGGACCTGGATGCTGCTCAGAGGACCCTCTACAGGGATGTGATGCTGGAGAACTACAGCAGCCTGGTGTTCGTGGGTGAGTCTGACCCCTCTGTAAATCTAGTAGCAACTCCTTTTTGCTTGGTTGAGAACTAAGAGAATATGCCTAACTGTTGGTAGTAGCTCAATAGACACTTTAGGACAGAAACTTCCATGCATATTTATGTAGGACAATGTGTCTTTGCAATACATTTACTGAGGTGCAATGATTATCTGATGGTAGTTGGTGAGGCTGTGAGCTCAGGTATTCTTTGTATGTGGATCATTTAAAACTTCTCTGACAGCTATTATGAAATACTCAGGTAATTTACCAACTATAAATTCACTGCTGTGCTGCTGAACATTACAGGGTTTTCATTCCTTCCAAAGGCACCCCAGTGGCTATATATATCTTTTTTCTGTGTCTTTGTCCTGTATCTTTTCCACACTCTAGCAACCAGTACTTTACAGCTTTGAGTTAAATTATAGCTTGTAAGCATGATGGGAACATGCCAGGTTTTGTTCCTGTGCCTGTCACATTTTACTTATGTCTTCTGACATTGCTGGGGAGACAGAATAAAAGTTCCATGCATTTTCGTCTCTCCTGATGAATGAATGAGTTTCCTGCAATAGAGAGCAAAGATGAATCTCAAGCAACTCTCACTGAAAACTGCACCTAAGGCAGTGTTTACATCTTTATGCCACAGGAGGATAAGCAGACACATTTCCTCATTGGAATCTGTTGAGTGATTGTGTGAGTCCTGTGAGGGAATGTTACCAGCCCCTTTACCTTCCTGGGAGCCCTAGATATCTGCTCTCTAGTTCTCTTTACCTCATTACCATGACTGCTGGCTAAGGCCTCCTACAGCTCAGCATCACAGCTGCAGCTCATCTCAAACTATTCCATCATTTAAAAAATCCCTCCAGCTGTATCCATGTCACTGTTCATGTGGTTGTGTATATATGCCACATTCTCTTTACCATTTCTTCTGTTGATTATCACCTACTTGATTATACATCCTGGGTTTTATGGACAGTCCTACAGCAATGATGGCAGTGCAAATTTCTCTGCAAAATGTTTCTGTAATCTAAATGTATATACTTATACACACACAAACTCAAGAGTGGAAGAGTATTGCTCTGTAGTATTTCTATATTTTGTTTTGTTTCTTTGAGATAGGTCTCATGTATGCCATACTGAGTTTGGATTTCATATATAGCAGAGTTTGAATTTCTGATCTCAGAACCCAGTATGTGAGACCACTGCTGGCTTATTTGGTTCTTGGGATTGAATCCAGGGCTACTTGAAAACTAGGCAATGCCCCGCCAATGAGCTAAATCTCTATTCCCTGGATCTATTTTTTAAAGAAACATAAACTACATTTCTTTTTTCTCTTTTGGGTAGGTATTGGGGGTGTTCAAGACAGGTTTTTTCTGTGTAGTCCTGGCTGTCTTGGAACTTGCTTTGTAGACCAGTCTGGCCTTGAGCTCACAGAGATCCACCTGCCTCTGCCTCCCATGCATTTCTTATTATCAATACTAATTTATATTTATGCCCATCAGTTTCCTAAATTTCCAATTGATATTTTGTTTTGTTAAGAACTTGTGAACCTTTGTTCACTGGGGACTCAGCAGCTCAACATTACCATTGTCTGTAGAAGCAACCATCTTGTTCAATAAGAAACACAGAACCAATGCAAAGAAGAAAGCCAAGAGGTCAGAGCTAAGAGCTAAGAACCTTACCGTTCCTCTCGTGGTGGTCATACCTCTCCGAAAGAGACCTACTTCCTGTGTGTCTGTCTTCATAAAGACTTTCTGTTCTGCCTTCTCATTGGTTGTAAACCCAACCACATGACCACCTCGTCACTGCCTGTTTGTTCAGACCTCCAGGTCTTCTATGGTTGGTATTGAGATTAAAGGCATGTGTCTCCAATGCTGGATGTATCCTTGAACACACAGAGATTTACCTAGCTCTGCCTACCAAGTGCTGGGATTAAAGACGTGCACCACCACCACCCAGCTTCTGCGATGGCTTGCTATTAGCTCTGACCCCTGGGCAACTTTATTTATTAACATACAAATAAAATCATGTTTCAGTACAAATAAAATGTCACCATAATTGTCTGGGTCAACTTTTACAGTCATTCTAGTAGCCATGTGCAAGGTCACAGTTGAGAACTCCAGGAAAATTTATGGGTGGTTCTTTTTAAGGCCACTTTCCATGTCTAGGATGTCCTAAGTAGCATTTAGTTGGGTTTTTTGTTTGTTTGTTTTTGTTTTTTTGTTTGTGTTTACTCTTATGTTAACCAGCCACCCAGCTCCCAAATAATCACATGAGACTTATTCTTACTTATGAATGCCCAGCCTTAGCTTGACTTACTTCTACCTAGCTTTTCTTAACTTAAATTATCCCGTCTACCTTTTGCCTTTATTTATTCTATATTCTTTTCTTTCCTTCTTACTCCTTGGCTGGTTGTGTGGATGGGTAGTGGTCCCTGACATCTTCCTCTTCTTCTCCTGCTCTCATTCTTCTCTCTTCTGTCTTCTCAGCCTAAATTTCTCCTCTTATTTACTCTCCCTGAATGCCAGCCCTGCCTATCCTTTTTACTGCCTAGCTATTGACTGTTCAGCTCTTTATTAGATCAATCAGGTGTTTTAGGTAAGCAAAGTAAAACAGCTTCACAGAGTTAAACAAATGCAACATAAAAAAATGCAACACATCTTTGCATCATTAAACAAATATTCTACAGCATAAACGAATATAACATATGTTAAATAATATTCAACAACAACGTTGTCTTTCCAATTTCTTCTCTTTGTCTCTTCTTGTCATCTGCTTATTGAAATTTTAAAAATTATTTTGTGTAATTTATTGTGCCACTTGAGAGTAATATTCCAAAGAGTGAAGAACATGAGTGTAAACTAACAAATTTGAATGCACCCACCATAGCCAAATCAACAATGGGATTGTCTTTCTTCAGTGGACTTAGCACCACTTAATGATGAAACTTAATCATTTCTCTATGATTCCCCATTTGCAGGGCACTGCACAACCAAACCTGAGTTGATCTTCAAGTTGGAGCATGAATTTGGGCCTTGGAGTAAAGCAGAAGCCTCAGTCTGGAATTTCCCAGGTCTGTGAATGTATACTGGGCAAAGAAGATGAACCAGAAGAGAGGTCATTGGGTGTTGGTCATAGTATGCTGTTTTCACCAGTCCTGAAGACAGTTGGTAATATGAACCAGATACACAGCATTTGTGGTCCTTAGAGAGTTTCCCTGTCAAGCCATTTTGCTGATTCTGTTTTTGTTTTTATTTTTGTTTGATGGTTTGGTTTGTTGGTCGGTTTTTCAGGACAGTATTTCATTGTGTAACAACCCTACCTGTCCTGGATCTCACTCTGTAGACCAGGCTGACCTTGAACTCCCAGAGATCTGCCTGCCTCTGACTCCTGAGTGCTAGGTTTAAAGGCATGCACCACCACTGCTCAGTGAAATATATATACATATATTTTTTGACAAAAATCCCATCCCTGTTTATATCTTAGGCAAATTTTGTAACTTTAAGCAATTCTCAGTTGTGCTTCCTCATTGTTTTTGTAATAGGTTTTCTTTTTACTGTTAACAAAGTAGATTTTTATTATGTGTTTGTTTACATATTCATTAGATGCTTGGTTTTCACACACCTGTTAGCAGCTGTCAATGTAATCATGGTAACACCAAGGGTAATGGCACCAGTACATCTTTACAGAGCTCTGACTCAGAAGAGAAGAGTGAAGACAGAGTCTGTCATGGTTTACCATATTAATGAGCTCAGATCAATGATGAAGCAAGTGCTTTCAAGGATGTTTACCAGGAAGAGATTAAAAAATACTTGTGGAGGACTGTGGGAGTTCAGCTCCCACTCTCCCCGCCACTTTCTAGGATTATTAGGAGGAGGTGAGAGAGATAAAAAAAATATTAGTTAGAAAGAGAGACCTAGCTGTCAAGAAGAAAGACAGAAATATAGGATAGCTTCAGGAGGGTGTGGATCAATACCCAGTAGCCTCAAAGGTTTATTCAAAGGCTTTTTATAACATGCCAAGGGGAGAGGCAAAAGATCTCCCCCTTGCAAAATCAATGCATACTGTACAACCAAATGTAGACCCTTCCAAAAACCTGGTAAACATGCCCGTGGCCAAATCATCTTTTTACGCAGCCCTGCTGGGTAAAACAAGCTCAGATTCTCTGACCCTGAGTAATTTGGGCCTCCACAAATTCTCCCTTCTTAATAATACAGAGCTTAACTCTACGCAGCTCTGAATCAGGTTTTCCACTAAGAGCTTTCAAATAGCTGGAATAATTGTAACAATACTCCTGCTCCTTATGGCTACTATGCCTCCTAGTAAAGGAATAGAGGATGGCAAAGATGGAATAGCCTTTTTGAAATGGTATAAGATGTCTATAGCATTCTTAGCTACAGCAAGCCCTTTATTTAAAATCAATAAACTCTGTATACAGCCTCATCAAATAAATCAATAAACTCCTGATGCAACTGCACCAATACTAAAGACTCCTTAGCATCACCAAACCATTGTTCATCAATATCAATAGCTTAACATAATTCTGGCATAAAAATTCCTATACATAATTACAATTCTCACAAACTTACATCCAAAAGCAAACTCTAAATAGAGCTATTTACACTTTACAAACTTTACCAAACATCCAAAAGCAATTTTTAATAGAACTATACAAAACGTAGGGTATATTAGCATAAGTTAACATTAACCTACTAAAGTGTCAAGAAAATACATTTTTTTCAAAATTAAAGAGACTGAGGAATATTAACTCCCCATTTTCTCTATAATTTTTTAAACTGCATCTTGAGCTTGGTTAGAAAAAAAACCCAAACTTCTCAATTTCTACACAAAACCAGTTCCATTTTTTACACAAACAGTTCCATTTCTACACAAACTCAGTTCGTGAATCACCACAGTTAATAAAGTATGTATGCATACACAAAACAGTTCATAAGTCATAACAGCTGATAGAATCTATATGCATATGTAAAGTCAAAATTGACCCATTGCAATTGAATCACTCCTGTCCATCTCATTTCTTAAGTCTAAAAAGTTCAAAAAGACAGTTCTGGTACCAGTCTTAAAGTTCCATTGAAAGCTCTCTGATACCAGTCTTAAAGTTCCAAATATGAAGAAACCCACAACCAAAATTTTTTGCACTTCCCCTGAATGCAGCAATTCAGCTCAAACCAGCATCTCTGTAACTTTCACTCTTAGCTACAGCTGTACTTTGCAGTCCATAGCCTTCCCTTAGGAAATTTTGATCCAAGGCTAAACTTGTTTGCTCCACAATAGCTGGCTGGTGCAGAGTGCTCTCAAAAGAGACCTTCTTATAGCCAGCAAACAGGAACTGCACAGCTTTGGCTGCTTGCTCAAATAGCAGCAAAGCCTTTGTCCCAATCTGCTTTTTTTTTTTTTATTTACAGTTTTGGTCTTAGGGCTTAGGGCTCTCAGCTGCCTCTTGCCTCTGAGGTTAAGTAAGGTTTTCTCAGATGCTATGAGTTACCACTCTCATTCAGCAACCTGGTCTGGGGAGGAAACCCAGCCACGACTAGTCACAGCCAATGCACCCAGCTGTGTTACCTGCCTTGCCAAGGGTCTTGCTCTGTGCAATGCTTACACGCTGCTGCTAGGGTCTCAATCCCTGTACATTTTATTGTGGGGAGGATTTCAATACCTCTGCTGCTCTTTCCACACCAGGGCTCATTCCACCCTGGCGTTCTGTCAGCCAGCATCTTCCCTTGGGTCCCGCACCAGCTTCTGCCAGTTATACCCTTAGGGATGCTGCCTGGCCTCTGCAGGGACCCTGCTGTCCTTGGAACACTCTCAAACTTGAAGGTGCCTGCTCCCTGACCCTCCTGGTGCATGCCCTGCATCTTCCTCTGGAGGCTTTGTCTCTCACACAGCTGCCACAGCACCCTGTGCTCTCATTCTCTCGCTACTCATGTGGCTTCGCTCTAGTCACTGGGGCCTAAAGTCTCTGCTTCACTCTCCAAGCCACAGCCACTGCCTGCCATTGGCCTCTCCCACCAAGTCTCTGCTGGACTTGTCAAGGTTGCACATAACATCAGGTCATAGACATGGCTGGCTCATGGCACTCTCCTCCATGGCTCTTTTGCGGTGGAAAGTGTGCAGACCCCTGCTTCTTGCTGCTTACAATGGAGGCTTCTGAAGCTACTCAGACTGCTAAGTTCACTGTGGCTGCTAGTTCTTGGATGCTGCTTTCTGCACCCCAGGTCTTGTCCGTACTCAGGGAGGGGGAACTACCCCCTTAATATAAGTTACTTTATATTAAACCTTCACCGTATTCCTAGACCTAAAGCCTATATTCTCCCTCAATATACCTAAGCCTACACAATATCCTTATACCTAAAGCCTATATTACCCTAATATACCTAAGCCTACATTTCTCAAACTAAACTTGTAACTTACTTTATTAGAGAGAAAGACACAGAAACAGAGACAGAGAGAGATACTTATTGCAGCCTAACTTTAACTACTTGCTTCAGCTTAACTTGAACTACTCTGCTTTATATTTAGAATTTTACTCCTGTAGAATAGAATGCCACTGACTCAAATTAATTCATTAATTCATTACCAGGCATGCTCCCCCCTCGCAGTTCCTTCTTCTCTCTTATCCTTTGTACCTAAGTCCCTGTTGAGCCACCACCTGTGGGGTCCTTGGGAGTTCAGCTCCCACTTTTCCTACCTATTCTAGGGTTCTTAGGAAGAGGAGGAAAGGATAAAAAGAGAGACCTAGCCAACGAGAAGAAAAACAAGAACACAGAATAGCTTTGGGAGGGCCTGGATCAATACCCAATAGCCTCAAAGGTTTATTCATAAGGCTGTTTATAACATGCCAGGGGGAGCAGCAAAAGACCTCCCCCTTGCAAGATCAAAGCACACCATACAGCCAAGTGTAGACTCTTCCAAACACCTGTTAAACATGCTTGTAGGCAAATCATCTCTTAATGCAGCCCTGCTGGGTAAAGCAAGCTCACATTCTCTGACCCTTAGTAATTTGGGCCTCCACAAATACTTGGTTTCAATTTTAGAAGGCACCAAGTGAGCTTACTAAGTGTTCATTCATTTATTTTAATTGAACTTTGAAGTGACCGTTTTCAAATCATACATAGGTGGTTATAAATTAAAGTCCTGGTAATGATCATGATTGGAATTAAGACACAAATCAGAAAATTCCTAGGCTCAGGTGTATTGAGTATATTTATTATTATTTTCCAAATTTAATATCTGATATATAAGTGGATATAAATTAAAAATGAGCTGCCAAAATGATTCAGCTTCTCTTCAAGAAGCCCAATGACTTGAATTTGATCCATAGGATCCATAAGGTGGAAGGAAAGAACTGATTACCACAATTGTCCTCTGGCCCCCACCCATGTGCTATGATGAGGGAAACCAGCTCCCTCTTATTCCCCCAAGGTACTCTTGAGCAGGGAGAAATGTGGAATTTGTAGATAGAAGTATATATAGAGAGACAGACAGAAAACACAGGATATCTTCATGAGGGCCTGGGTCTGAACCCATCAGCCCCTTCTGTCTCTACTAAAGGGCTTTTTAAAAGAATGCCAAGGGGTGGAGCAAAAGACCTCCCCCCAGCACAGCCAAGTGCAGACCATTCCAGATACCTGGTGACCATGCACATGGTCTAGCCATCCCCTAATGCAACCCTTCTGGGTAAAGCAAGCTCAGATCTCACTGGGAAACCTTTGTGGGCTCCCACACTATGGCATGCATGTGCCCACACTCTCCTAAGATAAAGTGATTTAAAAAACTAAAAGTAAGTTATAAACACTTGATAGTGATTGTGATGAGACTTGTGGTACTATTTGGAAATCGTGGGTTAAAAAAAATTTGATCACAGTTATAAGAAAATGAGGAAAGAGAGGAACAGAGGCTTAAGAATAAGATGAAAAATCAGATTAGCCATGCTCTGATGTCAATGATTAGAGTTAGAGTAAAGGAGACGAGATGTATTCACAGGAAAGGAGGAGCATGAGGGACCATAAAAACAGGTGGCAGGACAGGGAAAACGGGATGCAGAAATGGCTGGTGGTTCAGAGCATGTAATTCTCTTCTAGGGAGCCTGAATTCAATTCCCAGCACCCACATCAGGTGGCTCATAACCACCTGTAATTCCACGTTTAGGGTCAGATGTCTTCTGACCTCTTTTGACTCCTCCACGTGAGCACACACACACACACACACACACACACACACACACACACACACACACACACACAGACACAGAGAGAGAGACAGAGACAGAAACAGAGATAGAGAGAGACAGACAAAGAGAGGGAAACTAAAAATAAAGATTGAACAACAACAATAACAACAACAAAATCAAAAAAGAAAACCCGGAAAGGCTAGCTTCATTGGTGAGCTCTCCTTTTGAGGGTAGGAGAACCAAAGTTACAACTATAGATAGACCTAAAATTTGCAGAGACTAGCATTTCTCAGTACAGGTGATAACAGTGGTTCTGACCACTGAATCAAGCAGCGTGTTTTTCTCTATAATTGCAGAATGGCCTTGGAGAAGAAATTGGTTGCATATAACCACATCTCTTGAATTCTAAAAGCAGATATCTCATACTCTAGGAACCTAAAAATGAATCATCACACATTAGGGAGGCCATGGACACTGACAGTTCCTATGCAGAGGGTTGCTGTTCATTTTTCTTTTTCACATGAACAGGTATAGGAACAGAAAGTGCAGAAGCACTGAGGAAAATACTCGAGGCACTGGAGGTATGTAGGGTTCGACAAGTCTCACTGTGGAGGCCTGAGTTTGATACCCAGAATATCCTTAATTGCTCTTCCAATTTATCCATTAAAGTCTCTTGCCAGCTCCCTCTAGGGTTCTTCTGTTTCTGCTTTCTGAGCCTAGAATTACCAACATTTAATCTAGCCCACCTGGATAATGGAATCTGAACTCCAGTTCTCATGCATACATGACCAGCATTTGATTAAGCCACTGAGCCATCCCCCAGCCAGTTATATAATTCATTTAAGAATAAATTGTCAGCCAGGTGGTGGTGGTGCACACCTTTAAGCCCAGCACTTGAAAGACAGAGGAAGTCAGATCTCTGTAAGCTCCAGGAGTTCCAGGACAGCCAGGGCTACACAGAAAGACCCTGTCTCAAAACAAATGAAAGAATAAATTGTCCTAGCCAATGTTGCCATAAAATTTACATGAGGAAACTAAGGCACTATATGTTTAAATTAATAAACAATATGGTTATTCATGGATGATATTTTTCATATTATTTTAGATGTTCAAAAAGTATGTGTCCCGGTTGAGACCATCCAAGAAAATGAAGAGAGACAGTGGTGTGAAGTGAAGACCACCAGCAGCGATATACCAAATAAAAAGATGGCTGAAGTAAGTACAATTTTTAATGTGGACTCAGACAACTTTTCATCCGAACAAGAAGAGTGGAACTGTTTGGGAGGTTTCCTTTTAATTTCTCTCAGGTCAGAATGCACTACTTCTCTATGCTGAGCCCTATACCATTCAGGCTGGAGAAGAACCTGATGATGTAACTGGGAAACTCCTCCCATATTCTATATATCTTAGTCTCTATAACAAGAGTAAAAGAGAATCCTGCTGTATTCAAAATATTCCACTAGGAATATCTTTCTGTACAAAGGTAATATTCAATAAAGGAATGTCATATTCAAGAGACCTCTAGTTATCTCAGGGAACATTTCAAATCCTTTGTTAAATAGCACTTATTGCTCAAGACACAGTTCATTTAGGATGAAACGCATCAGATGAAAAGTCAGCAAATAAAAGTACACAGATGAAAAAATCTGTAACTATACTGTTCATGAGCTTTCATGTGAAAAAAAATCACACATCACAAAACACTAGGAAGCCATGTTAGGACAATGTGTACAATGAATAAAAAAAATTATTCTTTCTTAAGGCACAACTAAAGGTTCAACGGAAAATCCAGCAAGGGGAAAAAACAGATTCATGTGTCAAAACACACTGCCACAGGCCACAGCACAAGAAGAGCCACACACGTGGGAAACACTGTGAATGTAGGCACTGTTGTGAAGTTTCCCATGAGAAGTCAGTGCTCACAGAACAGCAGAGAACTCAAACTAAAGAGAAGACCTATGAGTGCAAAGAATGCAGGAAGGGTTTCTACCACAAGTCACACCTCTTTCGACATCAGAAAATTCACACGGGAGAGAAGCCCTATGGATGTGAAGAATGCCCAAAAGCCTTCTACCACAAGTGCTATCTCATCCAACACCAGAGAAACCCTATGAATGTGAAGAATGTAAGAAAGCCTTCTGCTGTAAGTGGCTTCTAACTTTACATCAGAGAACTCACACAGGAGTGAAGCCTTTTGGATGTAAAGAGTGCAGGAAAGCCTTCTTCTACAAGTCCCACCTCACTCGACATCAGAGAACCCATTCGGGTGAGAAGCCCTATGAATGTGGCGAATGCAAGAAAGCTTTTTGGCAGAAATCAAACCTTACTGCACACCAGAGAATTCATACCGGTGAGAAGCCCTATGAATGTAAAGTGTGCAAGAATGCTTTCTACAACAAGTCAAACCTCACTTTGCATCAGCGAATTCACACAGGTGAGAAGGCTTATGAATGTAAAGAGTGCTGGAAAGCCTTCTACAGCAAGTCAAAACTCAGTCGACATCAGGCAACTCATACAGGTGAGGATTCTTATTAATGTAAACAATGCAGAAAAGCTTCTCCATGGAAGTCACTTCTCTCTCAAAATCAGATTTCATTCAAGTGAGAAACCCTAAGAGTATAAGTATCATAGGGAAAGTTTGTAGTTTAAATCAGCCCCCTGTGCACCTCACCAAACTCAGATAGGTAAACTCTGGGAACATAAAGAATGTATGGGACATTTGTTTTCTCTCTCTCTGTCCTCTCTCTATATGAGTGACTCATATGGAAAACTCTGGATAATGCATGAAACCTGCTATATACTGCTAGTCTTCACTTGAAATTAGAGAATATGCTGGTGAGACTGATGGACATCAAGAATGTTTGAAAATGTTCTTCCACAAGTCAGGTCTTAACTCTAGGGACCACATACTAGTGCAACATACCAGGACTGTACAAATATAGGAAGGATTTCTACCCAAGTAGCTTCTTTCTGCATAAGCAACTCATACATATGAAATGTCATATGAATTTAAGGGCTGTAAGAAAGTTTGTATAATTAGTGAAGCCTCAGTTGACTTCAAGATATACAAAGAGGCTAGTAACCCTATGAATTTAATGACTGTGAGAAGGTTTTCTAACATAAAACATTGTCACAGTTATTAAAAACTCATACAGATGGGGGATTCACTGAGTAAAAACCAGAAAACACCCAGAAGAAGAATTGAGATCTCAAACTATGAGATTATACACAGAGTATATACAGATGTGAGAGTAAATGCACAACAGATAATTTACCCAGTTCATACAGGGTTACTTGCTTCTTATCTTACCCTGTTTGGGGGCTGGTGCACAAGTTCGATACAGTGTAGGGCTCTAAAGCTAGTCTGAGCATCAGAGCAGAGGACTGTGACTCAGAATTCCATGCTAAGTGGTTGATGAGGAGCCTCTGATTCTCAGGTGGTGGTGGTAGGGGTCTTGCATTCCAGAAAATGGATGTGTGAATTTAGAACTTGGGTAAGGTGAGAGGCCCTTTTAGTTAATGTTTATGCAGCATACTGGTTGTATCACTGATAGTTTCCAACAGCTTGGAAACCATAGCCTTGGTCCTGTATGCAGAATCAGTTATGAGGATGGAGAAAAATACAGCTGCAAATGGGAATGACCTATACAGTGTCTGGTCTGGGTTCTAACAAATGTGTCTAATCTGTTACTTGTCTGTCAGCACAAAACAACAAAAGTGATAGAGTGCAAGTTTATGATATAGAAAAATATGCTTCATATGTACATGAATGTATCAGGATTCATATTTGTTATTCTATAAATATAAAGATTTTAGAATAGGCATTTAGCCATACTTATATAATGGCAAACATCAAATCACTTAAAGAATCAGGGCCATTGAGTTAACTCATCAGGTAAGGTGCTTGCTGTGAAGATTGACCACATAAGTTAATTCCTTGGACCCGTGTGACAGAAGATAAGCAAATCACAAAAGCTGCATTTTAATCTATACATGCATACATGCATGCTCTCACATCTGTGCACACACTACATAAATCAAAATGAAAAATAAAGAAAATGATAGCATTTATGTAGCTGGGCATGTACTCAGTTAAAGTTTACTTACAAAGTTTGTGTTGCTTGTCTCTAGGCCAGTGATGCCCAATGGGGTTAAGGCATTTGTTACCAAGGCAGACCACCTGAGTTCAATCCTCAGGGCCCATGTGGTATAAGGACAGAACTATTTCTCCACATGTACATCATAGTATGGGCATGCATATAACATATACTGGCAAACACACACACTACATAAATTTTTTAAGTTTCCTACATGACATTTTTTTGTTTTCATTGAACATTTATGCATGGTATTCAATTATTTGTAGATATAAGCAGCCATGCAAGAAATTGCACCAAATTTAGAATGTGTCATTGGGCAATTTCAGCCCCCAACCCAAAAAATAATTCCACCAGTGGTGGTGATGCATGCCTTTAATTCCAGCACCCAGGAGGCAGAAACAGGTGAATTGCTGAGTTCCAGGCCAGCCTGGTCTACAAATGAGTACCAGGACACGCAGGGATATATAGAGAAACCCTGTCCCAGAAAAAAAATTCCTAGTGGTTATTTTTAATGAAGGTATCTATCTAAAGCCCCACTGTTTTGGTATTTATATTGTAGTTGAAGCTATTCTAATATTCGTGTTCCTCCTCTGTTGAGACCTGCCAGTGCCCGGTGCCCATGCAATTCAAGATTAAACAGAACCAGGGAACTCAAAGCTAAGCTGCTCAAGAGTCCCTTTGCTGACATTCTGTGATGCTTTTATTCTAGATAGCTCAGAGTTCAAAGCAGGGACAGAGAAGCAATGAAAAACACAGATAGTATTTCTCATCACTGTCACCAGATGTGCTCAGATCTCTTGGCCAAATGAGGGCTGTTTGCTTAATGCCCTTGAATGCTCTAAGCTGCATTGCTAATGGGGGTGAGGGAATCTTGCCTAAGGCAGGCAGACCCCTTCCTCCCAGGGGAGCAAAAAGCAGGGAAGTCTTATTATATTCAGTCTACATGTCACCCTTTTCCTGTGAACTCATTAAGAGCAATAAAAAGTTTATATTGATGAGTGAGATAATACGTGCAGTTCATGAAGCATTGAAAACACAGGTTAGATTAAACCAAAGCTATAATAGCTGCTCAAGCTCCCTGAGGCCAGCTCCACCAAGAGAAGGTCATTATTTTATTGATCTCTCAAAAGTTGATCCAACTGTTGAGGGACCAAGTGAGAATCACCTGTAATATTAAAGAACACATACCAGGAGACTGTGTCTTTTAGCAGTAAATACTTAATGGCAGCTCAGGTTTGGTAAAACAGTTGCTCAAAGTTCCTTCATTTTTGCATTTAATTCTCCAAAGACAGTAGCCATGGCACTGGCAGTTTTGCTGAAGATACAAACTAGTTGGGAGATGTCACGCTGAAGGCACTGTCAGTCCCGGTGCTGGAAGCAGAACAGAGGCTCTGCCTGCGGTTTGCCTCATCCTTAGTTATTGCAGTTTGTTATGGCACATCGATCACAAACTTCCAGCAGTTCTGGGTATGTTATCTAGAAATGGCAAGAGTGCAGGAATCCTGCTTGTAGAACAATATCCCAAGACTGGCGAACAGTGCCTGAAAGTCTGGTTGATTAAATAAACAGGCCCATCCAGAAGGCAAAGCTTTATCTGACAGTAAAAATATATTTCTTTCTACAGTATAGTTAGGGGTACATAGTTAGTACATACAGTACATAAGCAATGAGGACCCCCCCATCAAAAACCAAATGGGTGAGGCTGGGTTAAATATCATAACTAAATCACCCTGTGTAGTGACATTGTCATATATGCCTGGAAATGAAAGAGCTGTCACACTGAAAACATGTTCCTCATGATGTTAGCTGTCACTCATGTTTGCACTGTACAAGGGAGTTGTCAACCATCTGTCTCTATTATTGGTTCAGCTGTCATTTACCTGGTGACATTAACATAGTCATCATAGTTTGCTGACAATCCAACCAGGTGTTTTAAAGTAGATGATGAACAGATTTTCCCTCCTGAACACAAAAGGAGGTTTTGTTCATGGTATCTATAGCCAGTTTAACCCAAAAATGTTGTTGATTGGGAGTAAGTGGGTCCAAGTATGTCTACTTTTAAAGTCACATTAGCATAAAAAGTATTCAGATTGCTCTCCTTAAGTTTTGCACAAGTATAATTCCCTGTATATAAGATAGATATGACAAATGTTGAGCCAGAAAAAATATCAAAGAGTTAGGGCTGTTTTCACTTTGCCTAATAATAGCCATTTCTAAAAGTGGTAATGAAACTGTAAAATATTAAGAATCAGTCACAGGATTAAGTGGGGTGAATCATACTTTAGAAATATCTGTAGAGCATACAGCTCATTTTGTTGTGTTGACAAAAAGGCATTTGTGAAATCTCTATGGATGGTCCAGCCCTGGCTGCCCTTCTGTGACTGGTACCCATCAGTGAAGTAGGTAGAAGCTCTCTCCCTCAAGGGGCAAAATGTGAAAGACTTTGGGAACTATCCACACAGTGGATTTAAAAAGGGCAATAGTTTACTTTAAGCATAACTGTGAAAACATATACAAGAGACTATATAGAGGGAGATAGAAATTGTTCTCTCCCTCCAATATTGTCTCTGTAATTGAATTACATTTGTATTTAACACAACTATAAACAATTCTGGGCCCCTAAAGACATTTGATGATTTATGAAATAATCATTAACTTTTATATTTTAATTATCTTTGTTTTACAATGAATTAGTAACTCTTGTAAGACTAGGATTTTATAAATTAAGGTAGTTTATCCTTGTTAAGATGTTGAGCCTTAAAAATTATTGTAGTCGAACTTTTTCATCAGACGGTCAGTTCCCCAATAATAACTTGGAGACTTACTATTAATTATGAAAACTTGGCCAATAGCTTAGTCTTGTTTCTAACTGGCTCTTGTAACTTAAATTGACCAATTTCTATTAATTTACATGCTGCCATGTAGCTCATGGCTTGTTACATCATCTCCTACATGTCATGCTTCCTTCACTGGCAACTCCCCCTTTTTCCCTTGAAAATCCTGCCTAGCTATTGGCCATTTAGTTTTTATTAAACACAGTCACAAGGACATATCTTCACATGGTGTAAATGAATAGTCCACAACAAATTATCATTTTTGAGTTGAAGCTCTTTTAGTACCAAATAAACATTAAACCATAAATACAATTCGTAGTAACTGGGAACAACCTCTCTTAATCTTTCTATAGTGTATTTTTTTTACAAGATCTAAGTTAATTTAATCAATGTTTTATATTAGGTAGCTTATTTTATCACAAAGCATATACTTACAAGAGAGAACTGCAAGATTGCTTTTCATGAGGAGACATTTATAATAATAAAAAGGTGTGCAACTAATCTTTACCGTAACTTTTGTGATGACTTTTTTTTATATGGGTAAAGCTTAACAAAGTTAGCAAAGATATAGTGATTAGCTTGAT